TCGGATTGACGGTCGGGGAATGCCAATATGTAGGACTCCATAGAATTGCAATCTCTTGTCAATTCTACTCTCCTAAACTCCTCACTCATCCCGGCTGAAGATGAGGAGAGAATCAACAGAATACATTATTCGCAACAAAAACATTCAAGACATAATTTCTACAACAATTGAGAATAAGCACACATAATATCTAAATCATCAAATCCAACTCCTAAGTTTTCTAGCCACACATCATGTATTTGAAATCACACTTATAGGAAAATCAAATCTAGCAACTATAAGAGATGGAATGGAGAGATTAATATATGAAAGCAAAAGATGAAGAGAGATAGTTACCAAAATTGAATCCACAAGTGCAAAGTCTTCTTGAAATTGGAGTGTGTATGTGGCTAATCTAAGCCTACCCTAGAGAGAAAGTTCTCTAAAATCTAACCTAAGAAAATTAGAAAAATGATTCAGATCTAAGATCTCTAAGATATGTTGAAAAATCCATCCCAAGCCTCTATTTCAAGTGATCAAATCTCATCACCAAATTATTTCGGGCTCTAATTCACGCCCCTGTCACGTGCGTGACGCCGGCGTGAACCGGTTCAACCTATTCACGCCATTGTCTCTCGCGTGACGTAAGTGTGAATGGGAACCTGACGCGTTCATGGCCAGAAATGACTGACATGATGTCCAAATAAGCCTTTGTGGTCTTCATGAAAGTTGTAGCCCTTTGGAACGAAAATTCAAAGAGTTACTCCTCTTGGTATAAGATTTCATCTAACTCTTTGCTTAATTTCCTTTCCAATTTAAACAGCTCCGATCTCCGTTGGTTTGCAAGACACCGTTGAATCCCTGCTATCCTCGCCAGTGTGTGTTTTTTTCCTATGGAAGATGTTCCCAAAAGTTTCCTTGTTCCATTGTGTCAGCTCACTAGCTAAAGCCTTTTTTGTTAACATTCATATCGTTATTGTTGTTCCATACTTGACTGATCATGCTCTGAAAATTAGGATAGATACACTAAACCAAACCAAAAATCTAAATCATAAACTTTAAAAAAGATGAACCATAAGTGCATTGCACTTTTTTTTTTTCTTTTTTTTTCTTTTTTTTTGAAAGCAAACAACAGAAATTCATTAGTTCAAATCCAATCCGAAACAAGTATATCCAAAAGGAATGAAGGAGGTGAATTCTACCATTCTTTATGATCAACAATATCTAAAGCCAATTCCCACTAGGCGCCGATTTTGTATTTTTTTTTTTTTAATTAAAAAAATTAAAATTAAAAATTTTCAAAATTTAGTACTAAAATATAAGATTTCTATAGTTATTCCTTAGAAACTATTTACAAAAGTGGTTGTAAAATTGTTCAAAAGATTGTTGAAACCATCTAAATACATAAAAAAAAAACTAAAATTAAGAGCTAAAGAAGCATTTTTTTGAGAAATTAGTGGACCAAATCGCCTACGGCTGTTTGCAGTGTATAGATCTCGAAAAAATACGCGATTTGAAAAAAAAGTTATGTCTTCCGAAAGTTTTCTGACATTTACAAAAAAAAAAAAAAAAATCGCCGAACCGCCGAACCGGCTGGTTAGGCGGCCGCCTAGACCGCCTAGCCGGCCGCGGAGGAGGCCGCCGAGGCCATTCCTCGCGGCGGCCTCCTACCGCCTAGCGCCTTGGCGCCGATTAATCGGCGCCTAGGCGCGATTTTTGCAACCTTGGCCATTAGTTACGTAAACATATGTTCATAATTTTATAATTTCACATTCTGAATATATATTTATGCAATTCTTGATGTATAGTTATGATTTATGAAGTTATGGGTGTGTAGTTATGCATGCAATTCTAAATGTATAGTTATGAAATTATAATTTCATATTCTGAATGTATAGTTATGAAGTTATGGATGTGTAGTTATGCAATTCTGAATGTATAGTTATGAAGTTATGGATGTGTAGTCATGCAATTCTATATAGTTATGAAGTTATGGATGTGAAGTTATGTATGCAATTCGGAATATATAGTTATGAAGTTATGGATGTGTAGTTATGCAATTCTAAATGTATAGTTATGAAGTTATGGATGTGTAGTTATGCAATTCCGAATGTATAGTTATGAAGTTATGGATGTGTAGTTATGCAATTCCGAATGTATAGTTATGAAGTTATGAATGTGTAGTTATGCAATTCTGAATGTATAGTTATGAAGTTATGGATGTGTAGTTATGCAAATACGAATGTATAGTTATGAAGTTATGGATGTGTAGTTATGCAATTCTGAATGTATAGTTATGAAGTTATGGATGTGTAGTTATGCAATTATGAATGTATAGTTTTGAAGTTAGGGATGTGTAGTTATGCAATTTTGAATGTAGAGTTATGAAGTTAATGAGTGTGTAGTTATGCAATTCTGAATGTATAGTTTTGAAGTTATAGATGTATAGTTATGCAATTCTAGATGTATAATTATGAAGTTATGGATGTATAGTTCAAATTATGCACAACATAACGCCGTTAATGGCAATCGGAAATGATTTTTTTTTTTTTAAATTGGACGTCAAAACGATGTCGTTTTTGCAACTGTGTGCACCACAGTTGCACAGCATAACGCTCCCTTTTATCATATGTTAGAGAGAGCTGATGCAAGTTATACCATTTATCAGGATTTACCTTGTATTGTGATCCTAGTTCAAAAATAATATAATCTTCAAATTTCTTATATGTAGTTGGCACATTCCGTATCTACAGTTAGGGAGAGTAAACGGTCAGTCGGTTATCAAATGACGAATTGAATATAGTAAATTTTGAGAAGTTATATCCGCATCTAATATACTAGTAGCAGATTTTCATTAAATGGATCCGCCTCCCATCCACTCTAAGTGGATGTGGATCGGATGAGCTGAAAGCGGAATTGGCGAATTTAGTGAATTGGAGAGAACTTGACAATTCCTTGCTCACGCAAGAAATTAATAGAAGTAGAGAATTGAGATTTGGAAAGAATAAGAATGATTTTAGAAGATAAGAAATATGGTAGAATAAGATTAAGAAGGATTTGTTTTCAAAAAAAAAAAAGATTAAGAAGGATTTAAATTAGGGATTCACAAGTTTAGAAGGTGTTCAATCGGTTAACCGTTCGGTTAATCGAACCATTTTAACCGAAGTTTTTGTTTTTTTTTTTAATCGTTAACTGAACCGAAGTTTGCTCTACCGAATTCATCGAACCGAAATTTTTTTCAGTTAACAGATTAATCGAACTTTTTAAAACTAAAATTTAAAATTCTAAAAATAACACCTTAAATAATAAATCCAATTAAAATAAAATACATATCATAATAAATTCATAAAAAATATAAAAAACATGAATTATAAACTCCAAACATCCATAAGTTCAAATTAGTATTTATATATATATATATATATATATATATATATATATATATATATATATATATATATATATATTAAAAACTTCGGTTAACCGACCTTTCGAACCGAATTAACCGTTAACCAAAATTTTAAAATCCTTTAACCATTAACCGAACCGAAAAAGTTCAGTTCGAAAACGATTAACCGAACTTTGTCGATTCGGTCAGTTAACCAAAAATGATCTGAAATTTGCACACCCCTAGATTAAAAAATTAAACTTTAGACGAACTTTTGTTTTCCCTATTCTAACAAAAAGAAAACCTACCAAAACTTCTAAAAATCACCACAAATTCAACAACAACAAAATTTCCATGCCACAACCGGAAACCGTTAGATTTTTACTTTTATTTTTTTCTGATAAAAGAAGGAAACTAACACAAATAGCAATTGTGATAGCAAGAACAAACTATATATACTCTTTGATTTAATAAATAAATAAATAATAGAAAAAAGGCTCAATTTTTATAAATATTACAAATTTTTAATTTTGTAATCTACTATATATATATATATATATATATATATATATATATATATATATATATATATATATATATATATATATATATATATATATATACTAATAAGAGCCCAAGAGAGTTAGGCCTATAATGGGTAGAAAAAATGGCGGTCAAATTTTTTAATCAAATGAATGGCTCAGATTGATTAGATTTTAATTTTTTCTTAAAATTACTAATTTATCCTTAATGAATATGATTATCCGTTAACTTTTCCGTTAAATATTATCTTTTTCGTTAATTTCTGTTAGTTCACCGTTAACTTACTCTTTGATTTCAATAAGAAATGTCTTAGGTTCGAACCCCATACAATCAAAGTTGGCATAATTAGTACTTTATTTTACTCTTATTAAATTAAATAATAATTTAGTAGTTACAACAAAAACTAATATATATGCATTTCTTTAATTTAGAATTATGTGTTTACAATGTCTTTATTCAAAAAAAATTATTCATTATCAATAAATTAAATAAGAGAAATAATTTCATTAGTTATATTGTCTTTATTTTTCTCCAATATAAAAATTCTTTAAATTCAAATTCATCAATTGATTATATTCGCTACATTGTCCCTACAATGTCTTTATTAAAAAAATAAATTATTCATTATCAATAAATATAATAAAGAGAATTAATTTTATTAGTTATATTGTCTTTATTTTTCTCCAATGTAAAAATTCTTTACATTCAATTTCATTAATTGATTATATTCACTACATTGTTTATTATTTTTTTTGTGCACTATTTTTTAATTAAATAATGCTATATATTTATTTACTAATTATTTTATTAATACCATGAAAAAATTAAAAATAATAATTAATCAAGCCAATCATATTAACTACTTGAAGGATTTGTTGACGAAGAGAGTATTCAAATCACACAACAAATTGAAGTGAGAACTACCTCACAATGTCCTTGTTTGACAATCAGCGGTTAGCGGATTTGACCAACGAATTATATCAACGGTTGGTAAAAAGATATTTGAAAAATTAACTGTTTAGATTAATATGTAAAATGACATAAGGGTATACATATATTTTTTTTTTTTGAGCAAGAAATAAACAATTCATTAAATCAAATGCGCGATACAAGAAGGCGGGTGGTCATCCCACACACCAAGGACAGATAACGAAACAGTCGCCCTCGCCAGCGCGTGAGCCACATGGTTCCCTGACTTACGGACATGGCGAACCTGAACGTTCCCAACGTCCCTAGCAATGGATTGACATTGCTTTACAACTAAACCAACATACGATAAATCTAGAAGTCCAGAATTGTAACTAATACAAAAAGCTTGACAATCTGTTTCGATGATGACTTCCCGGATGGATCTACTCTTGAGCCATGAGAGAGCTTCTTTCACCGCCATCGTCTCCGCCAAATAAGGAATTGGTGCACAAGAGAGTTTACCACTGCGGGCAGCGACAAATTGACCGGTGTGGGCACAGATAACTGCTCCGTATCCTACGTCCTCCCCCTTCAATGCCGCGTCGACGTTGCAACGTAAGATGGACCTCGGCTGTCGGTGCAGAATGTGGGTAGAGCATGAAGGCCGGGGACTCCTGTGTGAGTCTGAGTTCACATACGTGTCTGTCCAGAGCTTCACCAATTCATTAATATCCTTCAGCAGTTTCGAAAGTGGCCAAGCATTGCCATTCCAAACCATCTCATTCCTTGCAAGCCAAATAACCCAAAGGCCTGCAACTGCATTTAGAGCATAATTAGGCGTACTGCGTAGATTAGCCTCCATCATATCAACAAAAGAGACACCACCTTTAATTTGGACAGAATTCCAGACTTGAATGGCCACTGTGCAATCACAAAATAAATGCGAGATTGATTCCTGGTCGGCGATGCATAATGGACAACCTCCACCAATCCACACCCCTCGAACCTGAAGGTTTTCACGGACCGGTAGCAAATTCGAGACGCAGCGCCAAAGGAAATTTCTGATCTTTGGGGGAACAGGCAACGCCCACAACTTCTTCCATTCTCCAAATCTGCCATCATAGTTAGAATGGAGCAGCTGGCTAGTGCGAAGATGATATCCTTGCTTGACCGAATAGATTCCCCGCGAGTCCCCCTCCAGCACCATGTATCCGTGTATGAAGGAGAAATAGGAGTGTTCATAATCCTCTGGATATCCTCCTCAATGAAAATATCACGCAGCAGCTCCTCATCCCATTTGCCATCCGCTGTCAGAAGATTACTTACAGTAGCGTCTTTTAGTTGTTCAATACGTGGTGTATGAATAGTGGGATCCCCTGAGTCTATCAGCCATGGCCAGCCCCATATTAGAGTGTCTCGCCCATCACCCACCCTCCGCGACACGCCTTGTCGCAACACATCCTGCCCGGCTAGGATGCTACGCCAAAGGAAGCTCGGGTTGTGCCCCAACTTGGCATCAAGAAAACAATTCGTAGGGAAATACCGAGCTTTGAGAAGTCTAGCCACCAGAGACTCGGGATTCATCAAGAGGCGCCATCCTTGCTTTGCCAATAGCGCCAGGTTAAAATCGTGGAGGCGCTTGAAACCCATCCCACCACTGCATTTTGGGGTTGCCAACCTAGTCCAGCTCATCCAATGAATACCTCTGTTGCCCGACCCGCCACTGTTCCACCAAAAACGGTTCATTAGCTTTTCAATAGCGTCACAAACTCCTAATGGAAGAAGGAAAACAGACATGGCAAAAATGGGCATGGCTTGAGCTACGCTTTTTAAAAGAATCTCTTTGCCTGCTCTACTCAAAAAATTTTCCTGCCACATAGTAATCCTATCCCGAACCCGTTGCTCAATATATCGAAACACCTCAGATTTGTTTCGCCCAAGGAACGATGGGAGTCCCAAATAACGGCCAAAATCCTCTGTCTGCCGCACCCCAAACACACCTGCCACATGGGAACGCATATCCATCCCAGTATTTTTGCTAAATAAAATATTAGATTTGTCAAAATTGATGAGTTGGCCCGAGGCAGCACAATAGCGGTCTAAACATGATTTCACCACCTGAGCTTCACAATCTTTCGCCTTGAAGAACAGAAGGCTGTCATCTGCGAAAAAGAGGTGCGAGATCGAGGGAGCCCCTCTCGCAACTTTGATCCCATGGATATTGCCACCAGCTTCCTGTTGGTACAGAATAAGAGACAGACATTCGGCACAAACAATAAATAGATACGGCGAAATCGGATCCCCCTGTCTAATTCCTCTTGTTGGAGTCACTGCACCGGCAATTTCCCCATTGACCAGGATATTATATCTGACTGTACTCACACACAATAACACCAAGTCCACCCATTCCCGGGCGAATCCCAGTGCTGTTAACATACCTTGCAAGAAACCCCATTCCATACGGTCGTAAGCCTTGGCCATGTCCAGCTTCAAAGCCGCCCAACCGTCTTTACCCCCATTCTTTCTTCGCAAATAGTGCCCTACTTCCCCGGCCACAATAATATTGTCTGTAATTAATCTATTCGGGACAAAGGCACTTTGTGACGGTGAAATAATAACATCAAGAACAGCTTTTAACCGGTTTGCTACCACCTTAGCAATCACTTTGTACGCAACATTGCACAAAGCAATCGGTCTCAAATCAGAGACCGTTTCGGGGACTTTCTTCTTTGGAATCAAAACAATGTTTGCTTCATTCAGGCCAATTGGAAAGTCACAATTTGTGATGCAATCCCGCACAAAACGTGTGAGATCTTCCCCCACAATTGACCAGAAAGATTGGTAGAAAGCGGGAGTCATCCCGTCAGGTCCCGGAGATTTATCCGGTGACATGGAAAAGAGCGCTTGCTGCACTTCATTAGGCTCAATCGGCCGCAGAAGTTCAGCATTCATAGCCTCAGTAATACATGTCGGCACCCTATTCAAAAGGGCAATATCACATGATTGCGTTTGAAAAATAAATTCATAGTACCTCAAGATTTCATCATGCATGTTCTGTCCCTCTGCCCAGGAGCCCGTGATGTCTCGGACACGCCGTAGAGCATTGTTACGTTTCCTGGTCGTTGCTGTAGCGTGGAAAAATTTAGTGTTACGATCTCCGGCTTCCAGCCATAATTGCTTGGATCGTTGCCTCCAGTACAGCTCTTCCTGCGCATAAAGATTGCGGATTTCACATTCCACATCCCGTAGTCATGTCAAATCTGCTTCCCGGTAACTGCCTCTCAGATTCTCAAGCAGTATGAGCAGTCCCCGTAAACGCCGCCCAAACCGTTGCGCATAATCCCCTCCCCATTTCCGTAACGCTTCTCCGCACCTTGCCACCTTCTGCTGGAAGGTATCCCCGCGTTGACGGCCCCAGGCGGACTCCACGACCTGTTTACAGTTTGCATCCAGCATCCAAGCCGACTCAAATCGAAAGCCCCTGGTTCTCCTCCCAATGCGACCACCCTCCATCACCAGATTCAGAGCACTGTGATCAGATGTTACCGAGGGTAAGTTATAAACAGACACCCCCGTATACATCTCACACCAATCCCCCGAGGCCACCGCCCTGTCTAACCGCTCTTCAACCCACCGATGTGTTCCCCGTCCACGTTCCCAAGTAAACTCGTACCCCACCATCCCCAAATCCGATAGGCCACAGTCCAGCAGTGTGTCATTAAAGCCCCGGATTAAAGAATCTGGATGTGGGTTTACGCCCCTTTTCTCTGCGTGACTTGCAATGTCGTTGAAGTCACCTATCACGACCCAAGGTAGGTCAGATTGGGCCTTCAATTCTCGCAGCAAATTCCACGCATCATGTCTCCTTGACCGCTCTGGGAACCCGTAGAAGCATGTTAGTCGCCAGGCAGGTTGGCCTGGTAACGTCACCTTCACGTTTATGTGGTTCGCCGAATAATCCAACAGGGACGCCATGTCTGCCACCTTCCACATCAAAGCCAAACCCCCACCAATCCCTACTCTGTCCACATTAATACACCCTTCAAATCCCAAACGCACTCTAACACGTTCCACTTGACTCGCACTGGCTTTTGTCTCCATGAGGAAGACAAATTCGGGTCGCTGCCGGGTCACAAAACCCAGCAATTCGCGAACTGTCCGGGTGCCACCCAAACCCCGGCAGTTCCAGCTAAGGAGACTCATTGATCCGGGCGAGCCTGGTCTACCAGACCCGCCATCTCCGAGTTTTTTGAAGATTCCACCATGCGGACATCCTCGTCATGCACGCTGTCAGAACTAGTACCCTCCTCCCGTCTCCTTTTCAGATCTCCATGCAAACCCTTATCCTCCTCCATTGTCACCAGAGTGGCCGGGGGTATCCCGATCTCAGGGGTGGAGGACGCTGGTGTCATAGACACGCCAGAAGATAGCAACCATCGAGCCCCTACCGGTCTAGCTTGGCGCCGTGGTCCTGCACGCATCCATGCGCCAAATGGGAAAGCATCTGGCAGGATGTTCAATTCGTAGGCCGTTTTGCAGAACTTATCCGAATGCCCTAGGAGGCCGCAACAGTAGCAGAAGGTACCCAATCTTTCGTAACGGAACGTGATCCATTGAGAAGATCCATCGCGACGGAGCAGCTTCATGCGGCGTTTCAGCGGGGATAAAACATTCAGGCGGACTCTGATTCTGAAGAAACTTCTCCAGGCCCCCCCGAAATTGAGAGGATCCGGTGCGATGAACGTCCCCACATATTCCCCGATCTTAGCTACAAACGCTGGAGAGGCATACATCGTCGGGAGTCCATGAATCTGGACCCAGAATGGAACCGAATCCAGCACCACTTCTTCCGGTCTGGTACCAGATAGAACCTGATCGCAGATGAGGAGTTGATTGTCGAAAGACCAAGGCCCATCCTCGATCACCCTCTGTAAATCTTTTGGATGAGGGAATTGAAACAAAAAGAGATCCTCAGTTAGCGTCACTGCATACATCCCCATCACCGGGCGCCAAACAGAGGCAAAAACTTGCTGCATGTGTTCTGCCTTGATCACCCGATCCGTGAGAAAACGCCCCACCAGATTATGGTGGATCGTCTCATCAGGTACAGACGGCATCTCCGGCACTTCCATGCCCCCTGCCTCCTCCTCCGCCAGCGATAGTGCTGCACATTGTTGTTCCAGCGGGCCGATGTCCATAGCGATCAAATCAGTATGAATCCGATATATGATAAGAGCAAAAGTGATGATTACAAGCCGAGCGATATTCATCGTGAAAGGGGAAAAACAAACAAAGATATATGCCCTAGAAGCCTAGGGAGAAACACTCTCTCGGACCACGATCGAGAGAGAGGGCCACGATCGGAGAAACAGAGCGGCGATCACGACCGGAACTTGCGAGCTTTGCGGAGCATATTCTCTCTATTTGCTTCCCAACTGGTATACATATATTTAATAATAATAATAATAATAATAATAATAATAATAATTGTTTTTTTAAATAAAAAATAAAAAAATATAATTAAGTCAGTCATATTAATTGCTTGGGGGATTTATTGACAAAAAAAATATTCAAATCACACAACAAATTGAAGTGGAAACTACCTCGCAATGTCCTTGTTTGGCAATCAGCAGTTAGCTCTTCAATATTAGTATATATTTAATATTTTGTGCCATAATTTTTATTTGCTCTCCCTTATGTCTTGTATTTAGTTATTGATCATTCAATATAATATGAAAGAATCAAATTAGTTCGCAAGTTCTCATGGAAAACATTGATCTCATTTGAACATGATCATATACAAAGTTCGACTCCCATGAGAACCATGCCCATGTGAAAACATGTTGACAAATCAAAACCATTGATTTAGTATATCTAATAGTTTTTTGAAGAAAAGTATACCTAATAGTCGAAAATAAAGATAAAAATGGAGGGGTCATTTTCATAAATATTAAAAATTCATAATATTTATGAAAATGACCTGCTTATTTTTACTTGATTTCTTATCCATAAGATATTACATATCGATGGTTTAGATTGATCTACAGATTCTCACCTGGAGAGGATTCTTATATGAACAGGAAATATATATGTTAAAAAATTTTGTGAAAGATCAAAGTTTATCAAATTAGGCAAACCTGCAGTTGCAACGTTAACGGGAAGGTTATCGTTGAATTATCATTAATGTAATAGATAAGTAAACAATGTAAGGATAAACAATAGGGGATGTGGCTCAGATGGTAGAGCGCTCGCTTAGCATGCGAGAGGTACGGGGATCGATACCCCGCATCTCCATTTTTGCTGCTTTGCTTCAAAGTATGATTTTACTATCTACGGTAAGTTATTTGAAGCTATATGCTCTTCATGACGACGTTTATATGAAGTGCTGTTTTGTTTTGTTTTCCAGTAACTCCAATCATATACTGTATATATCTGAGATATAAGAGGGGTTCACATTTCATAATGTGTACACAGGCCGTTGTATCTATCGATTCTAAATGTTGACACGTCAGGATTACAAACTCTTCATTGGACAGTAATTTGATATGCTATGCTATGCAATCTCATTGCAAAGAGTAAAATTCAATACTTCATCATGTTGGTAAGATTCAAATGTTTGTAATATTGATAACTCTCTGAGTGTGCATTCAAACATAGTTCAATATCTTACGATGCACTGTATTAAGCCCAGTAATGCATATTTCATCAACTTACGTTGCACACTCCTAGAATCACAAATTCATCAATATCAATATAATAAATTAAACCTAATAGAAAGCATACTCTAACAAAGTGCAGGGAAAAAAAAATGAAAAGAATAAATTTAAATCCATGACGAAAGTTCACAACCAAGGACGGAAAATCCCAATCGGAAATCGAAGAGAGGCGACGAGAGCTTTGGATAGAAAAGATAAAACCTGCCCGCACGGGCGCCGCTTAGCTTAATGGTTCAGTAGACAATATTTGAGAGAAGAGATCAATATTCGAACATCGGCAACAGCAATGTGGGATGCCCAAAGTGGAAAAATCCCTTGTGCGCATCCTGCATTTAGCCTTGTTTGCTGAGCCATTGAGTCGCCGTAATTTACATCCCCACCCAAATACTCTGTCGGACCGGGGTATGATGGACCCTTGAAGTTGAAAATTCAACCTTTTGGGAGAAAAAAAAAAAAAAAAAAAAAAAAAAAACGATAAAACCTACCAAATAAATCTCCCTAGAATTAAAGGACATAATGCCTCATAAACTCCATGCAAGAAAACAATAAAGAAAATTACTCTATTACCACCACCACTTAAATTTAAAACCTAAACCCTAAAATCTAAATCTAAACGGTAAATATTAAACCCTAAGTAGTGAAAAGTGAATCCCAAACTAAAATTTAAAAACGATACACTAAACCAAACCAAAAATCTAAACCATAAACTTTAAAAGATGAACTCTTGTTTTTTTTGTTTTTTTTTTTTGAAAATAAAAGATGAACCATAAGTGCATTGCATTTTTTTTTTGGAAAGCAAACAACAGAAATTCGTTAATTCAAATCCGAAACAAGTACATCCAAAAGGAACAAAGGAGGTGAATCCTACCACTCTTTACGGTCAATAAAATATCTAAAGCTTCCCTGGCTATCTAGCATATGGACGGTTCTATGCAGATCATTTAGTAAACACAAAGCTAACATTTGAGAAACTTTTAGCTAGGTCTCTAATATCCTCAATGATCATATCAAAAGAAGAAATACAACAAAGATTGGTCCTAATGGCTTCAATAACTGCCTTGGCATCTGACTCAATTTGCACTTCAAGCTAGCCAAAATGCAAGGTATAGTGTTGCAAAGTTCACCATATATATAGGGTTGCAAATTTCACTTCTAAAGTTTGAAATAATTATCAAAATGACACATGAATTTTTTTCCCTCCTTGCTCTAGAACCATTAGATCCAGATAGATATATAGATAAATAGTTGAGATTGGTTCTTATTTGTTGAGATTAATAAGAACAAGAAAAATAATAATGGCAGTAAAGGATAAAGAAGACAAGATTTACGTGGTTCGGCAATGTGCCTACATCCACGGGAGTGAAAGTATTCTCTTATTATTTGTGATGGTGATAGTGGTGACACTACCCTTTAGGGATACAACCAATATATTTATAGGCATCCAATCCCTATACAATAGGTCTACCCGTTTCACTCCTACTCCTAGTATGAGACAAACACTTATTCCTAATCCATATATGAAACAAACTCAACAATCTCCACCTTGGCGAATATGTTCTTTAGGAGAAAAGATAACTCAACAATTCTCCACCTTGACGAATATGCTCTTAAGGAGAAAAGACTTATCTCACCATCTCCGCCTTCACATATATGCCCTTTAGGAGAAAAGACTTCTCCACCTTCGCAAATATGTCCTTTAGGAGAAAAAGATAACTCAACAAATCTCCACCTTAGCAAATATGTCCCTTAGGAAAAAAGACTTATCTCACCATCTCCACCTTCACAATTATGCCCCTTAGGAGAAAAAAACTTATCTCACATATACACATGGGTAGGAACAACCATGCTCATCCCAACTAGCCAACCACATGCATACGCAGCATCAAACGTTACCCAGTGCAAGTACACGAACAGCTTTGTTCCAAGCCATTCGCCCCTCAGCCGTCGACCTGTTATACCGCTGCGACTCATACTAACTGCCCCGTTCAGCTGGCTTCCTACATCCGGCCCATACCAGGTCCATATCCCCTCCTGGTATCCACGCTGTCCCAACACAACAGCGCCCCTGCAAAGTCACACTAAACCCGTGTGCCTTGCCCAATGCTCCACTAACCAGTAATTGCCACTGGTTAGTAACACGCACCACGCAGCATCAAACGTTTCCCAGTGCATGTTCACGAACTTCTTCGTCGTCCCGAGAAGTCCTCCCATACCAGCCGTGACTTATGTCAAGCCCGACCCATGCTAGTGTCATACTGGCCCATACCAGGTCCGCGACCCCTCCTGGTATCCGCGCTGCCCAATACCACAGCGCCCGTCACCACCTTCTCATCTAGCATCTAGAAACGCCCAACAAGTCCAAACAATGTTCGAACTTGTTACTAGTTGCCGCTAGAGCATCACCTTCACTATAATAAGAGTCATCAGCATGTACCACGTCCGTAGCTTCCTGCTTCTTCAACTCCTTCCAATCAGCCTCTTCCAGATTTGCTGAATTTTTCGCCCTCAAGGTTTTCAGAAGGCCCTGATATGCCAACAAATCCTTTATCCTAGACCGCCATAACCCAAAATTCCTTATGCCATCAAACTTTGATACCTTGAATTTTGTACTTGAACTAGCCATCTCAACTATGCTCTGATACCAATTTGTTGAGATTAACAAGAACAAGAAAAATAATAATGGCAAAAAGGGTAAAGAAGGCAAGATTTACGTGGTTCGGCAAAGTGCCTACATCCACGGGAGCGAAACAATTCTCTTATTCATAGTGATGGTGATAGTAGTGACACTACCCTTTAGGGATACAACCAATATATTTATAGGCATCCAATCCTTATACAATAGGTCTACCCGTTTCACTCCTACTCCTAGTATGAGACAAACACTTATTCCTAATCCATATATGAGACAAACTCAACATTAATATTTTTCAGTGAACAAATTTTCATGTTATCATTTTCCTTTAAGTGGACACGTACATTTAAGTGAGAACAAAACTTTCTCAAAAAATTATAATATATAATAATCTCATCCACCCACATGTGTATTATAATTCGTATGTACTTGAGCCATATTCATAGCTTTGTTTAAACTACAATGAAGTATGACTAGATCTTTTGTCCTCTTACAATAAACAACTAACCAAATTAATCCCCTCCTATACAACAAATCATTGGCCTTAAACAATTTTTAATTGACAAATCTAGCTATCATTGCACATGTCAACAATATTCCTCTTATCACCATCATCTACTAATCACTTTATATATATTTTTTCAGACTATAGAACCACACCACACACTCTCCTAGCCATGTGTCCAAAGGGAAAGAAGAGCATCTTCAAATCTCAAAAGATAACCAATCAACTACTACTAACACTGCACTACATACATGGATATAACTCAAACTTTCTGCTCCATAAGTCCCCTCTTTCTCCATGAGTGCAATGTACTGCTTAAAATATGATATTGATACCATATACACATGTGTTTGGAGGAATCCAAATTAAGTGCAGGCCAAATTTTAGCCCTATCTTTCAACCTTTACATATTGTAGG